CCTACAGCTTATATTCACCATCTAACAGTCCTTCGTCACCGTCTCTTAGCTTTGAGTCACCGCCCTCTAGCCCCCCGTCACCGTCCTTTAGCCCTGCGTCACCGTCCTCTACCCCCCCTTCACCATCTTATAAATTCGATTTACCGACTTCTAGAACCCCGATACCATCCTATAGATTAGCGTCACAACCGTATTGCATGGAGTCAACGTCCTATAGTTTAGATTCACCAACTTATAGCCCGCCGTCTTCGTCCTATAGTTTAGACTCACCAACCTATAGCCCTCCAACGTCCTATAGCTTTGATTCGCCGTCCTATAGCCCAGCGTCAAGGTCCTATAGTTTAGATTCACCAACTTATAGCCCGCTGTCTTCGTCTCATAGTTTAGATTCGCCGACCTACAGCCCGCTGTCAACGTCCTACAGTTTAGATTCACCAACTTATAGCCCGCTGTCTTCGTCTCATAGTTTAGATTCACCGTCCTATATCCCAGCGTCACTGTCCTCCTGCCCTCCGTCACCATCCAATAGCCCAACGTCACCACCTTAATGCAAAGAGTCATCATCCTACAGCTTGTTTTCACCATCTAACAGTCCCGCGTCACCGTCTCTTAGCTTTGAGTCACCGCCCTCTAGTCCCCCGTCACCGTCCTTTAGCCCTGCGTCACCGTCCTTTGGCCCTCCTTCACCATTCTATAAAATTAATTTACCGTTTTCTAGCTCCCCGTTACCATCCTATACGTTAGCGCTACCACCTTATAGCATGGATTTAACGTCCTATGGCTTAGATTCAACAACCTATAGCCCCTCTTCAAAATCCTATACTTTAGAGTCACCAACTTATTGTTACACCCCAGTTACCATCCTGTAAGTTAGCGTCACCATATTATTGCATAGAATCACCGTTCAACAGCCTATATTCACCATCCAATAGTCCTGCGCCACCTCTTCTTAACTTTGAGTCACCGCCCTCAAACCCCCCGTCACCGTCTTCTAGAATAGAATCATCGTCTTCTAGCCCCGCGTCACAATCCTGTAGGCCAGCGTCACCGTTTTCTTGCCCCCCGTCACCATCCTATAGCCCAACTTCACCACCTCATCAACTTCCTTTAGCTTAGATTCACCGTCCTATAATCCCCCGTTAACGTCCTATAGCTTTTGGTCACCGTCCTGTTGCCCCCCGTCATCGCCTTTAGCTTAGTGTTACCGTTCTATAGCCTGCCATCATCGCCCTACAGCCCGGCGTCACCTTTCTATTAACACCCAGCGTCACCGTCTTACAGATTGTTTTTACCGTCTTACAGCATGGAGTCACTGTCCTACTGCATGGAGTCACCGTCCAATAGCTTTGAGTCTCCGTCCTGTAGCTTGGAGTTACCGTCTTATAGTTTGCATTTACCCGACGATGATGATGGCGACGAAAAGCTCCACATCGCCTCATTGATGGGGAACAACCCATTGACTTTTTTATATTTTTTAAATACATATGTTACTTTTGGTTATTTGTTTAATTAAATAAACGATGAAACTTTACTTTTTTGTTTCTATATTGTTCAACTTTATACAACTGTTACAAATAATTTGTACAAATTATATTATCTTTAAGAGTAGATGATATTTTTTTAAACAATGAAAATTAATTGAATGAATTACGAATAATTAATTTATTGAATTATTTCTGTAAATAATTCTTTTATTTTTTTTAATTAATTTAGTTTAATATATATTCAAAAGGACATGGCATTTTGATAGAAAACCTATATTTTCCTAATTTAGACGTAGTAAAATTTTCAAAGTATTTGATCCATTTTTGTGCTAATTATATACATTTTAATTTTGAGAGTTTTTACGTTATTTTTATTCGATGGGTACTCTGTACATAAAATGGTTAGACTAAACAGAACTGCTTAAAAATGTAACAGCAGTTTCTTAAAAAAAATTGTACGCTTTGGCCAAAAAAATAATTGAGTTTTTAAAATCTTCAAAACTCATATCATAAATTCTATTAAAATAATTGCATTTCATTTTTAGAAAGAAAAAGGTAAAAGGACAATTCAAAAGTAAAATCAAATTTTTAAAAACTCAAAGCATATTATTATTGTATGTTTAATTGTTAATTACTTTTTATTTATGTGTTAATGTGTTTATACGTTAACATTATTATTAATCAATATCCTAATATAATATGATACATCTTAATATTATTTAATTTTTAAAACTATCACATGCCTGACAAATGACTTAATTACTTAATATGATCATTACAGTTTAACATTAATATTGAATACGTATTCAAAATTCTGATCACTCATTTTTGCCTTTTTGTTTTTTTTTTTAAACAGCAACACTGATGCTAAACCACGTTCAACAGCAGTACTGCTGGGTAGTGGTATGATTCTACCGATGTATGAGAGAACTTCAGAAGGTAGTAGAGTCGACATACATTTAATGTATATTTGTAATCGACCGATAAACCATTTTTAACGAAAAAAGGTTTTGAACCGAGTTTAGTTGATGTTGTCGCTTTTCCCACATTATATATGCCATATTATGATAAAATAATTACATAGGCATTATATATTTTCTTTAATAATATTTGTTTTTCTAGTTCCTCCAATATATTGAGAAAATCAAAAAAATGACCTCCTTAAAGTACATTCCCAGTCAAATTTCCTTACAGAAAAAGTGCTACAATTGTGAATCGAAGCAATATTTCTGGTAAAAAAGTTAGTCTCCAATAAAAAAAAAAACAAAACATCTCTCTTAAATCATAAGCTCCACTCAGGTTCTACAAATTACCCCGCATATAAATGTATACATATGTTAACCTTATCATTTAGAGTTTAAAAAATATATAGCATAGATATATAAAACAACTAAATAGCTGATTACCGTGATAATTGCTCAGAAGGCAGAAATGTAAACAAAACAATAGCTAGTTTGACCATTAGTAACCACTAGTAAAATTAAATGTCCTCAAAAATAATATATAAATATGTCAACATAATTTTTATACATAAAATATTTTTTGAAATTGTTATTTGAATAAACGGCCTACCGGGAAAGGTTCCAAATTCCCGATATTCTAATCCACCCCTGTAAACTAAATAAAGAGTGGATTCATTTAGAGGTACTTTTTTCAAGAATTAAAAAACAATAAAAAAATTAAATTTTATTGGGTAAACTTTATTATTATAAAAAAAACTATTATTTTCATTTATTTTTTAAATATTATATATTTTAAATGTTAGCCGTACCTGCGCCTAACATGATCCATTCGAAAGTTCCAATTTTCAATTACCCATCTAAGCATTTCGACAGGTATTCGGCCAATGACGTGTTTGATGTTGACTTCCAATTGATCTATCGTAGTGGACTTGGTTATTTAGACTTTGGACTTTACGTAGCCCCAAAGAAAAAAGTCGAGAGGCGTGATATCGCATGATCTAACTGGCCAACTAATCGGTCCGAATCGTGAAATCAATTGCTCGCCGAATTGTTCTCGCAATAAAGCCAGGGTTTCACGAGCTGTAAGACATGTAGCACCATCATTTCAGGCAACAAATAGTCTGTTATCAAGTCGTGATAGCGAGCGCCATTCACAGTCACGTTCTGCTCGGCCTCATTTTTAAAGAAATATGGACCGATGATTCCACCAGCCCATAAACCATACCAAACGGTTGTTTTGTTCGGATGTAATGGCAGCTCTTGAACCTCTTCGGGTTGCTCTTCAGCCCAAATACGGTAATTTTGCTTATTGACGTAACCATAAAGCCAAAAATGAGCCTCATCGCTGAAAAAAATGTTGGTCGAAAACAGTGGATTTTCTTCAATCTTTTCGAGAACCCATTCGCTAAAACGGCGACGATTCGGAAGGTCGGCCTGCTTTAACTCTTGGACCGGTTGAATGTTGTATACTTTTAAACCAAGGTCCTTACGTAAAGTACGCTAAGTTGTTGCATACGACAAGCCAAGCTGTTAAGAACGGCGCCGAATCAATTCATCACGGCCATCACGTACACTTCCAGCTACCGCCGCTACATTTTCTTCACTACGCGTTGGATGCGGCCTATTTGGTCGTGTGTTATCTAATAATGAAAATTGGGTTTCAAATTTTACAATTGTGTGTTCGGTAGGCCGATCACGCGGACCATAAGTCTCTCTAAGCGTACGAAAAACACAGTTCTCGTAGAACGCTGATTTTCGTAATGAAGTTGAACAATTTGTAGACGCTGTGCCGGGCTAAGTCATTCCATGATGAAATTTCAAACAACGCTAAACAAAAGTAACACGACCGTTTGATACGACTCATTCGTTACCTGTCGTAAAACCCCATTTAAAAAAAAAAAAAAGTACCTCTTCATGAATCACCCATTACATGTACTCAGTAGCGCCGAACCTAATTCAAGGGGTTGGTATACCACCTATAATTGGTAAAACGTTGTACGTTTCGCAATTAATATTAAAAGCAGTAGACATCATTATGTTATGCATAATGCGAACTAGTTTATTCCCGGACTGCCGTAATGTACATTGTGGTTCCGTTAGTAAAAACAGATAACTATTTGACTATAACCGTACATATAACTGTTCAATTGAATGTTTTACAATAAATAACTAATATGGTACCTATAAAATTTCGAAGGCTTACAACAGCGGCTACAGCCGGTTCACGTTGTTGTACACGCTGGCTACGCAGAGTGAAAACATATATTTTTGTACAAAACTGTATTATAGTTTTTGTTAAAATATAAAATATAATATTTATATATTCTAGTAATAACAATTAATTTCGATGTCACGTGTCAAAAATCTAAATTCGATCGCACACAGCTTGTCAGTCAAAAGATATTTAAGATCCCGTGTCGATTTTTTATGATACCGGGATTACCCGGAACGACGGTCATATTGGATCACCACATATTGTATAAATATTACAGTTTATTTAAGTATACGAACTGTAATTATATGTATGTAATGTATACTTATTGCGCAATTTATATTGTGATATTTGTTTAATGTTGTACCGATTTCCTCGTTTTTCTCGTGTTTTTTCCCCAGTTTACACATTTGTTCGAAACACTTCAAAACGACCTCTAAAAAGTACGTCTCCAGTGAAATTTCCTTTTCGGAAAATCGCTATCATTAAAAGTTATAGCGAAATCGCTTGTAGAAACGTTGTCCATGGGAAAGAAGATTTTCTTTTCAGAAAAGTTGCTACACGTAAACATCGGAGCAATTCCTCAGGTAGAAAAGTTGTCCACAAAAAAAAAAAAATAAAGAGACATCTTTGTGAAACCATAAGCTTCTTCGCTCTACACTCAGAGTCTAAAACATTAACAATTATAGGTTGCATTATAGGTTGCACTATGTTATGCAATTTTTCCAAGATATTTGAAAACTTTGTTAAAAAAAGATTGACGTCCTATTTAGAAAGCTTCGAATTATTGTCCAAAGACAAATTTGGTTTTAGACCGGGTATTATAATGGAAAATGTTCTATACGGTGTAGCTAATTTATTTATGAGTCACTTGACAAAGTTAAAAAAACTTTAGCAATATTTCTAGACATTGTAAAGGATTTTGATTTCGTGGATCATTCCATACTTATTCATTTTCTACCTTCTCACGCTTGGACTGGTTTAAAAGCTATCTGATGAATAGGGAACAAAAAACTAAAATTAATACAGTAACTGGAGATTTTATGTCAATAAGCTGCGGTGCACCCATAGCCCATAGGGAAACTCCAGAGAAAATTGAAAAATGACTTATCTAAAGTACTTTCCCAGTCGGATTTCCTTTTATAAACATTGCTATTATTATAAATTCAAGCGTAGTTTAAATTCAGCTAATTCAAAATATTACCCACGTGTTTCGGGTTTCCTAGTCAAACAGTCAAATACAGCCTCTTTGTCGATACCTATCCGTCGTAGGTCACAAGTCAAATTTTTCGATTTTTTTTTTTTTAATACATAAAAACATTATAAATTATCCAATAAATTCAGAAAAAATTGTAGGTAAAAAAAGGTATAAATTAATTTTTTAAAGATATTTTTAGATTTTTTTTTTGAACATTTTTCGATGATTTTTAGTGCATTTAAATCCGGGCCCTATAATTATAATGCTACAAAATGTACACTTTATTCAGCTCGTTATATTATTATTATTAAGTACAGAAGAACAAAAAAATAAAGTAGAGACATAATAATTATACTTTACACAATATATATATATATATAAAATACACGAAAGAAACATGTCGAGTGGGAAAAAGTTATAATAGACATAAAGTATAATAATATTAAACATAATATATTACATTATAGAGGACGACGTGATGTCCGCTTTAAAATTATAAAAAAAAAAAAAAAAATTCTTTAAAATCAACAAAATTAACAATGTACATATTAAAAATCAGCAACGAGACGCGAAAAATAAATCGTCAATCCGTCTGATAGACATGCCATAATGTATGACTTGTATAACGAACAAAAACATTATACAATACCTATACATAATAAGTGTACTGTACAAACATACATAATAATACATAATTATAGTCAATACAAATGAGGTTAATCTGTCAATGTTGTCGCGCGATGAAAAAGAAAACGGAAATGGGCGTAGGGCGCGTTTTAGGTGAGCTCGAATCATACTCGAATCTATCGGCTGAACGGTTTTCGGTGTTTTTTAAATTATCGTTTCCGTGTATTCGAGAAACTGCCGTAAACGGTATAACTAGTACCTAACGTGACGATAGAAAAAAAAAAAAAAAATAAAAGAATTATACGAGTTGAAATTGTCGCCGTCAACAGTTACAACGACAATAATATTATTGGCGACCACCTCAACAATTAATAAAATAATTATTATAATATTAAGGAACATTAAAAACGTTTCGTCTACCCTGCGAATAAACATACAATTAAAACTTAACCTAACTTACAATTATTAGGTATAGGTAGGTAAATGCCAATAAAACAAAATACCGTTTCACACTGTAGTTATAATGTCATATAGGAAAGCTGCAAACAAAATACAATATCGTACAATAATACAAGTAATTAAACGCAATACAACAATAATAATAATGATAATAATAATAATAATAATAATAATAATAATAATAATACTATAATATAAGAGAGAACACGCGATTTGTTTAGGTATTTGTAGACTACAAGTTGTAGTCGAGTGTGTGTGTGTGTGTGTGTGTGTGTGTGTATGGGGAGGGGGTGGTACTGTGCTCTGGGTGACACGCTGGCCGTGTTATAACTTTTTTTCATAACCTTACTATACATTATGCAGGTAAGTACATCGGGTACACGACTCTTGGGAAACTTTTTTGCGTTTTTTTCTTTAATAACAATTATTTATTACAGGTATCCGATCCGACGCCCCCCCCCACCATCCTCAGAACCTATCCTGACCAGTATAAAAACAGGTAGACGAGAACAATAATAACATTATAGCAATATCTCGCAACAGCCAGGCACGCAGCCGGATAGTGGGGGAGGCGTCCACAGGGTGACGATTAATTTTAGACAATGTTCATTTTTTTTTTTATTTTTTTTTTCAAAAACCAAACGAATATTTTGTTAATTGTTTTGACATTTTATACATTTTTAAAATGAACTCCGCCCCCGAAATGAATTTCTGGCTGCTGCGCGTATAAACGGTTGCGCGCATAGATGGCGCCGTACGCCGCGTCATCAGTACCACCCCGGGTAGAAAGATGGGTGAGTTTGCCGGGGCTGGTAGTAGGCGGCCGACGTCGGGCTCATCTGGCCGCCCATGCAGGCGGTCGGTATGAGCGGAGGCTGCGGACTGATCCGTGTCGGGTTCATGGGTGGCATCTGATGGTGTCCGCCGACGCCGTGGTGGCTGGCCAACGCGGACCAGCTGGACGGGCTCTGCATGGACACCAGTTCGGAGGATGACACGGTGATCAGGCTGTCGCCGCCGTTCGTTCCTGTCAACAGACGCGATAGTTATTATACGGTGACACCAATACAACGTTATCACGTCGTACATTATTGTTTTCACCTGTACGAGCGTACAGTTATATTATACAAATGCCGTGATTAGCGTTTAAACCTTGGTGTGAGGGGGTTTCAGATGATCCGGGAGCTAAGTCTGCCTAGTCTCCCGTCCTCATTGCGCAACTGTCTTAATCGTCAAATTGCTTATTTATATCGTGTGCCGCAAGTCCCCGGCGAAAAAAATCGTATTTCACTTTTTCCTACTTCTCATCTGATTCTTTTGATAAGAGAAAATGCGATATTTTTTGTTGGTTGAATATTGCTGAACAAAGCTGAACGATATTTCCGTTGCGGCAGACGATGTTTTAATGATTGAAAACATTCAAATTTAACATCGATATAACGTTAACAGAATTCGTAGAGAATGAGGTTGACCAATCACAAGTGTATTCATCAAAAATTTAACATCCAGCTGGGATGTGGACATTAAGAAATTCAATGCAAGGCACGTGCGCTGTACAGATATATATCTTAGATGAACATGGGATCGGTAAGGTATGATAATAGGCGTATCTCGTTTTGCATCTCAGACCAAATGTAATGTTGAAAAATAGCTGATACCGGGGATGGGAGCGGCCACTGTTGTAGGTAAGAAGTTGGGAAGGTAAGATACATAAGGTTATTTCAATTATAACTGTAAGCAACGATAGACCATTGTTTGACGAAAGGCGATTCCGAGAGCGGTTCGGAAATACATAATTCGAAGTGATGTAATTTTTTTTGCGATTTTCGTTTAAATTTGATTTCAAAATGTTTATTAAAAAAAAATTTGTCCGATGATTTTCGAAATTTTACCACGTCTAGGTAGTATTATTACCAAAATTTAAGTCTCTACATGTATTACCGAATTACATCAATAAAACTCTAAAAAATTTAAATTCCTCAAAAGCTCAAAAGCGGCTCAACAATTTTGGCAATGATATTGTGAGAAATTAAATCAAAAATACGACAAAAAAGAATTTTGTTATTTTTCGATTGAATCATTTTTTCTGGTTGTAAACGCCGTCCGCATTTTTATAAAATAATGAAATCGTGAAAGTGTACGTTATCTTACGTTTTTTCCTGCTTAAGCGCTTATTTTTTTTTTTAAATAACGGAGTCAAAAATCAATGATCTCTCTACACTATCACATAGAAAACTTGAGCTTTCAGAAAAGTCGCTACACGTAAAAATCGGAACAAGTTTACCTAGGAAAAAACGTGCCCAGAAAAAAAAAAAAAAAAAACAAATAAATATATTAGTAAAGTTAATAGCTCCATCGCTACGCTCTGAATCTTAAATAACATTTATCTAACAGCACATTGTTATGTGGTCATATCGTTTTTTTTTTTTGGAACCGACACAATCAAATAACGTTGTACTCGAAATTACATTAGGCGTATTCTGATACCCTATATCGTGAATTTATAACTTGTCGGACGGCGAATTTTCAGATTTTCTTGCCAGTATTAAAAATAAATTCGCATACAAGCAGGTAAAATATCCTCGAGGTAAACAATTAAATTAAATCCAAGGCGGATGAGGTACTCGTGACGAAAATCTGCCTTGGATTTATTTAGATTAAAAAAACGAAAAAAAGACCTTCAGTTAGAAATTTACGAACGAAAAATACAATCGTAATAATCCCCCCCCCCCACTCTTCTTAATATTTTACCGACTTGCAACACTATCAACGAACTCTAGCCGTTTTTATATGTTTTTAACCCAACCTTTGTACACACAATTAAGCGGCCAACTTTTTTGTACTATAATTTAATATTTTTAATCGAATTAAAAACCGAATTCAATGTGCGGACTGAAGAACGTGGTAAACAACAACATTTTTCAGACCAGAAACGGTAGAATACAAATGTTAAATCGGTAATATTGCCACGTGGAATCACGTTGGTCCGTCCGTAAGAACGACCGGTTCGGCTTTACTAAATGAGTGTTATCGGGCAGTATAGACTACAGTGTACGATAAGTCTTACGCACTGCATAAAGCGAGACTTTAAAATATTGTCGTGCACATACGCGAGGGTGACTAATGATGAACCGCCGCTAATGAAAAGCCATTTTTAACGGAGCATTATTTGTCGTACTTTTTCCCTTGTCATCAAAGACGACATAGAAACCAATAAAAATGATACGGAAAACTGACAGTGTTTTGCGTTTATTCGGGGAACTGCGAGGAAAAAATAAATATGAATTCACAAAACATTCTACAAGGAAGTTTCTATTAAGTTCCTATTTCGGATGAGACTCTGGCAGATGGAAAAGTCGTTCGCAGACACAAGAAAACGCATCAGAGTAAAACCAATACATTCCTTGTTTTATTCGGGATTCTTTTTTTATACAAATGTCCAATAATATTCGAACTTTGAATATTTTTTTAAATCTGGACAAATGCGATCTCGCAAGTTATTATTATAACAATTTGCTCTGCCCAAGCTTAACGTTTTCTGAGTAAAATTGTAAAGTATCGACGAATATGCGGCAAAAAAGCATTTAACTCGCGAGAACACGGGAAACGTACGGGAAACGCTAATGATACCTATAGGTAAACCGTATTATTACGGACAGGTCGATGACGATGACGATGATACGCCCTGTATATTCACACGTGTAACGCGCGGCGAACGCGACGACTTACCGTTGGACTGTCCCATGAGCGTGATGTTGGCGGACACCGGCGAGAGCTGATGGTGCGCGATCATCGTGGGGGCCGCGTTGGGAGCCGCCGAACCGATCTGATAGGCCTGCGACGCGGCCGAGAGCAAGCTGGGCGACGAGGCCTGGTGGCCGACCCCGCCGCCGGTTCCGACGGGCCCGATGTGCAGTTGCGAGAGCTGACCGCCGCCGTTCAACTGTCCCATCTGTAACGCATAATCGATATTATTATTATTATGCACCGGCGCGCGTTTAAGAATCACTGTATAACGCAATAAAATATACAGTATAATGTACAATTATTATTATTACAGTACGCGCGCGCGCCATGCATGCGTGTTATGCGTGCATACGGACCGGACGAGCGCCGTCGCACCGTTCTGCACCGCACGGCGATACGGACGGTTATAAATAACACCCTTATATTATTATACCGACGGCTAGGCGACGGTAAACGGTGTCGCGCCGCCGTCGACCCTTTTTACGACGTCCTGTTCTTTCGGGCCGTGCGGTTATTGTATACGTCTAAACAATAATATAATAATAAACGACGACAACCCTTTTTCGGGAGAAAATCGTTGTACACAACATTGTTATTATTGTCGCCACGTGCTGCGCGACGGTACGCGCGTCGTCGATCATCGGAAAATAACGACCGCTCGCGCCCGAAATATGCCCGATGAAAAACGACGCGGCTGCACGGCGCGCGTGCATACATGTATAATTCACAAACGCATCGGTAGACAGTACGCGTCGGACAGGTCGCTCGAAGTGCGTGCATCGTAATGTATTATACAGGGATCGGAATAACCGCCGAAACACGTCTAAGCGCAGCAGCGGCGGGATGCGAGCGGGTCGGGTTCGCGTTACGGTTGACGGACTCACCTGGGACGTGAGCAGCGACGAAGTGGACGTGTACAGCGGCGTGGTCGGGTAAGAGCCGGCCGCGGCGATGCCGATGTACGAAGTGGCGGTGGCCGCTTCGGGGCTGATGTTGCTGTGCGGCCGGTTGTCGCCGTGGTCGATTAGCGACGTGGCCCCCAGGCCGCCGTACATCTGCATGCTGTTTTGCTGCTGCTGTTGCTGCTGTTGTTGTTGTTGTTGTTGTTGTTGCTGCTGCTGTTGTTGTTCTTCCTTGATCATTTGCTGTTGTTGTTCATCCTTGATCATTTGCTGTTGCAGTTGCTGCTGCTGTTGTTGCAGTTGTTGTTGCTGTTGTTGATGATGATGGTCGTCGGCATCTGGATGAGACACAAACAAAAAAAAAAAAAAAAAAAACAGTTTCAACAATTGCCTTTTGGAAATACAGGATTTCCACAACAAAAACTTTGCGGAAAAATCCGAATCGAATTCATTCGGAATCTTCGGAGACAAATAATCGTTGGCCACTGCGTATGATTTACGGCGATATTATAATGCAGATCTAAGACCTTTGTTCCGATGTAAACGTATACACGTATACACTGTAGGTACGTGTACACGTCCTACTGCTCATTAACGGTAGACGAATAAAATGGACGGGACACGATTGTATATTGAACATGCCTCTTTAGTTTGGCATTCGCATAGTATTTGTCGAAATCAGAATCTATCCGAAATAATTTTCTAAGATTCTTATCTTTTAAATGTAATTCTGAAAGAATTCCTCATTCAGGATATATTAACATAGGTATTTTATTTGTAAATAGTTTCGTTGAACAAAAGATTTCAAATGCTAAATTTAAAATTTCTCATTTTCTCGACTGTTCCGAGCTTTTGGAACGAATAAACTTCAGAGTAACTTTATTTAATTTTAGAAACAAATGTCCGTTTTATTTAACTTATATCAATTCAAATCATATATCCGATTGTCCTGCTAACGTATTAATGTCTACTAAAAACTATATTTATAACTTGGACCTGTTTAATATAACCCTGGAAAAGTTAAATAATTATTTTTTAATATCGAATTGTTAAATTTATATTGATAATTAATTTTTTTTTTTTTTATCATTTACGTCTCTATTATGTCTGTTATGATATCACGTGACATGTTTACACGTGTAATGTTTGAATCGTATTCCGTAAAATAAATTATTATTGTTATTATTATTATTACGGGAGTCGCGACGATTTGGCGATAAAAGCGGCGGTCCCGTGTGGAAAAATACCCGTATAAAAGCGGGCCCAGGACGGGACGCGATCACGCGGACCATCCTCAGTGGCGGTTCGAACCGACGGAAAAAGCGATCGCGGATGGAGGAGAGACGGAGTGTCGGGCGTGTTATGCGGTACACGAGCCCCGAAATGTCTAGAGACCCGGGGGGGAAAGAGAAGCCGATTTCGCGTCGATAAAACAATGTGCTCGTGTGCACGCGGCTGTTACAGGCCAGCGCGGATTCAACGGTTATTGCGCTGCGTACCTTTGTATCCGTCCGGCGTGTTGTACGGCTCGTGCAACTGTTGCGGCGACATAATGTACGCGGGCGTGGACGACGAGTTCGGACCGGACGACTGTTGCTGTTGGTTTTGCTGTTGGCCGGACGGCGAGTACCCCAGAGCCAGTCCCATGCCGTAGCCGCCGGAGCCCGGCGTCGAACTTCCGGTGTTGCTGGACATTTGCTTTCGCAGTCGGGCGCGGCGGTTACTGAACCACACCTGTACAACGGTCAGAAACGATTAAACAGGTTTAAATGTAACCGCGCAACTAGTATATTACCGTGTATTGGGAAAACTAATAAAATACAAATATATTCTGCACAACGTTTTCAACAAAAACGAAAATGGCAGAACTGAGAGAGTGACGTATAAGAAGTGTGACTACGAATTGAATAGGATTAGCAGTAGGTAGTCTACGAGTACGTGGTGTAGCAACAATAATCTGAATTTTTAAATAATGATTTTTTTTTTTTTTTAATTTTTCGTGTATATTGTAATATTGTCCCGACACTACCAACAGAACTATTAAGGTGTGCGCCAAATTTCAGCTCAATCGAATAACGAAAAAGGGGCGAGTTTTCAATTTGATTGATACGGGCGCGAGTGCGGTTCGTCCGTCGAACTTAATAAAAATGCAATTGAAAAAAAATCAATATAGGTAATAACAAAAAATTGATGTTGAGTAAATATAAGAAAGGTACAAGGAAAATAAAAATGATTAAATAATAAAATTTAATTTTAATAAAAAATTGCCGATTGGACAACATTTTCTTCTATACACCTCTCCCGAAGTTTATAATTGGAACAAGATTACTGGTCGAAAATGTATTCAAATAAAGAAAAACCATGTATTAATCAAATGCATATAAATTCCACGCTTTGCTCAGAATAAAAAAAAATTTTTTAAAAAAATATAGATTAATGATAAAAACTGCGGCTTTTCCATTTTTTTTTTTGGGGGGGGGAGGGGGAAAGGTCTCCCATTGTTTAAGAGTTACGTTCAGATTTCTCACCTGTATCCGGGCTTCCGTCAGTTTGGTGCGCTGGGCCAACTCTTCTCTGGTGTAAATGTCCGGGTATTGAGTCCGCTCGAACGCCTTTTCCAACTCGTCCAGTTGCAGTGCCGTAAATGTGGTCCGGCTCCGGCGCTGTTTGCGCTTCAGCGGTATGCCCGGTTCCGAATCGCAGTCCGAACCGTCCGATGTTTTACCTAAAAACGGAAATAAACAAATAAATAACGGGCACGCGACGATAATCAGCAGGCGGCGCGTCAGGGATTCCGAGGCCTCGGTCACGTTCAGCCCTAAGTATAATTTTTCGGAGAAGTTAAAATCGAGAATTTTTTCGGGAGAGTCGATTTCAAGTATTGTAATTTACGGAAAGTAAAAAAAAAAAAAAAAAATTTGTTTCCAAAATTCTTTTCACTATTCCGAAATAAAACACGTCCAAAATACTTACGACGGTGTGTAACGTGTATGTGCNTTAATATTATTAAGTATAGTGCTTTAAGAGAACACATCATTTTGTTGCGTCTGCAGTACCAATCATTTTGTATTTTCAGTTTTAATATTATTTATACATATATTATTATCATCGAATGATCAAACTTATGTATAGGTAAGAACAAATCAGAAATTTTTTTAAATTTTTTTCAAGCGAAATATAAACGTCTTTAAACCGTGATATTTCACATGCTTATATCTCGCTTGAAAAAATTTAAATAACGAAAACACCAACGCACAAACACAGATATTATTGTTTTTCCCTTTAAATTTGTTGATGAATCAATTCATCCTTCACTGTTTTAACTGGCAGACCGAAATTGAAACCTATGGGCGCCCATGAGGTTATTTTCAGGGGAGGCATAAACTGGAGCTAAGTTCCCAAACGCGCGTTTAACGACAATAATACACAACTTATAAAAAACATGATGGACGTACATAAGAACACAAGACCAGTAAAAAAAGGTTACAGAGTTAAATTGTGAAAGGTCCACTGCGAGAGGTCGAATCGCGTCAAAGCTCAACGCAAAACACCATAGAGTCTGTGTTTGTTTCGCATTTTCGAAGGGGGATATGTCCACCGATATCCACTTTTCGATGGGGTAGTTTCGAATTTGTATCATCGTTATTATTATCATTTGTTTATTTGTCGATTTGTTGCTGTGTATACACCGTACGTCTAAAAGTCCACTGCTACCTAATATATCTGGCACATCAAATTATTTATTTTGTATTTATTGTATTCAATCGTCGCCAGGCATATCGGTACGTGTTATTATTNCGAGAGGTCGAATCGCGTCAAAGCTCAACGCAAAACACCATAGAGTCTGTGTTTGTTTCGCATTTTCGAAGGGGGATATGTCCACCGATATCCACTTTTCGATGGGGTAGTTTCGAATTTGTATCATCGTTATTGTTATTATTTGTTTATTTGTTGCTGTGTATACACCGTACGTTATTTTGTATTTATTGTATTCAATCGTCACCAGGCATATCGGTACGTGTTATTATTTTTACAACAACCAAGCACTCGATTTCGGGCCACTTGTTTGATTATTAAATTTTTGTTGTTTTCTTTCTAATCCACCGTCGTAATAATGGAATATACGATTATTACGATAAAAAAAAAAAAAAAAAAACAATATTTAACTCGCGATCTATATCCACTCGTAGCGATAATAATAATAATAATATAATGACAACGGGTCACCGCGCGGTAATACGCATTGACAACCATATCGGCTATAATATTTATCATTCATCGAAAATCTGTAAAATTTCAGTGTACACAATGGCAGCGACATATATTATGTTATACGCTATCGGCAATACATAATATACACATAAACGTCAGAGAATAAATAAACGCAAATTTGCGCAATGTGCGTACAGAATCTGTACGCTGCAGTTGCTGTGAATTCGTTTTCTTTTAGACCACCCGAACTTGTTCAAACGAACCAACACGGAACACCATTTATTTTCATACTATAAGATACTAAAAGATCTAAAGATCGGCTTTTTCTACCGCTAAATAAAAACTGTAACTACCGACGAACCTTTATTATTATATTTGTTCATCAAATTTCCGAGCAATTTTCAAACGATAAAATATAAAGATTTTAAAAGAGTCAAAATTGTTTGGAATTATAATATCGTTTCTATAAAAAAAATGCTAATATAATATTGTGTAAGTCAGTGGCGTGGTGAACTCAAATATTTTCAGAGACAAGTATATTTTTCAATACCCACCCACCTACCCACAGGCTCATGACTCACTGAAATCGAATATTATTTTTGAACATTGAACACTGGGTTTTTATCTCTTTCGAAAATTGCCCTATAAAAAAAAAAAACAAATTTATGGAAGGAGGGAATTGTTTGCCTCTCGCAAACAATTTTAATACCATAGAGATAATTATAAGTATAATTAAAACAACACAAAATGAGACAAAATTGTTTAAAAATATACTGTCCCTTTAATAGCGTTAAGTCGTACAGCAATTACAATATCAATAACAATACATTTTGTATTAAATGATCTGAAGACTTTGCGAACATACCAAGTGTTTCATTACGATCATATTCAACATTTTTTTCAGAGTTGATTCTGATTCTGCCCAATACCTCGACCGAAGCCTACATTAAACTATAGTTTTACCTAAAATCAATACAGTGACAATTTGTAGTTTTAGTAAAATTCGATTTGAAAAAAAAAAACAATGCTGGGTTAATAAAAATATCAAAAAAATACGATTAATAATATTATTGTAATCTAAATTTTACAATATGAAAATGCTATTAGTCTTTTGTGAGTCGTTCACAATTATAAAACTAAATTATTATCCACCCGCCCAGTGACACCTATCACCCAATGAAAATACTGAGAGACGACCGCCTTTCGATCAGCCCCTTCACCACGCCACTAATGTAAGTGTTTGGTGAAAATTTCGAGATTCAAAAATGTCAATTATTTTTCTTCGATAATTTCGCATTAATGATTTTTTTAAACGAACGTAAAAACCAATTAGATCTTTTCAAATACCCACCGGGCATCGGTAACGATGAATGATGAATATTCCCATTTTTCCTATCGAAACGAATCGAATAAAACTGAAGACATGCATGAACACTGGACACGTTTTTGTTACATTGCCCGTTAGAAAGGCGTACATATACGGCGAATGCAAATGTGACGGCTTCTAACAGAGTCAATGAAAAATAAAACTAACACACTCATTATTGATAACTCTCCCCCCCTCCCCCCTCGATGTATTTACTTTTGGAATATTTAAAATATCCCACGAGCAAAATATCCTACAATATTCCTAAGTCGAACTCGTAACGAAAATTCAGAATCTCGACCGTATAATATTTAGCCTGAAGTCCGTTATTTTGTTTTTTCCTTCGGAAACCGCGTAAAATTAAAAACACTCGAAACTCTTGTCGTATTATATAGGAGTTGGTACGTTCGTCAAAATTCAAACGGGAGTATTTCGAGTAGGGGTCGTTTGGAATAGGGGATGCTCCGTACGCGGCATATTTTGATGTGAGGGGATGCTTCGAGGGAGGGACCCATTTTATAATAAAAACCTGCAATATATTACGATCGACTTCGCGATTTCGGACAAACGTGCGATGGCGGCGAATATTATGTTATTATTATGACCTATGTCATCGTTCGTATAACGAGCAAATAATATTTCTTCTGTGTCGTGCGTGTATATTTATTATTATTATTACAAGTATAATTCGTCCGACTAAACGCGCGTAATAATAATAAAATATATGGCGAGACGAACACACACGCGCAAAACGGGTGTTCGGGAAAAAAAGAAAAAAAAAAAGTACGTGTCGGATGACTGAAGTGCGTAATTTCGGCAGACCGCAACCGATTGGGTTACACAAAGAGACCGACCGGCGGCGGCGGTGAACATTTGCTTGTTTTACAATATGTATGTGTGTGTGTGTGTATGTGAAATAAGAAGGAAAAAAAAAAAAAAGACTACGAAAAAAAGGTGGCGCACGGGTCTGCGGCAGAGCGCGTTACGGGGCCGAGGGAAACGTAAAAATCATTTTTCATATAATTTGGCGGAAAAAAAAAAAAAAAAAAATTAAAACCGAAATAATAATATCTCCGTCGCGGCTTTTTGGTTTTTGACGTCGACGGCGGCGAACAGACACACACGAAGGCGCTTAGGTTTTCGGCGCGGTAATGGTTTTTTTCGCGGCGACGGAGGTTGTCGGCGCGGTATAACAGAGGTTATCGCGGTTGATACCTGCGGCATGCATAGCGGTAACGCGCGGTATTACATTATTATTGTGTACCGATCGATTCAATATCGCTGTTACGTATTGCGTTTAATTAATGACGTTTTTGCCGGCAGAAAATAATATTGGAACGCCGCGGCCGACGGTTTTTCGACGATGACTGCGGCTATTGCATTATTACCCGTCTACCATTATGCTGTGCGGGTACGCACGGGCACCGTCCATCCGGATGATACGACGAGACGACTATTCATGTTTCTCGGGTATAATATCGCGAGCACACACACGCACACGCACACACGCACACACACACACACACACACACACACACACCCACACCCACACACACGCGCGCGCGATTTATCGTTATTATTATTAGCGACCTGTGCGTTCGGCGACGATTGTTGTGCGCGCCGACACCTCGCGCGGACAACGCGGACGATCGGCGCAGGTATACCCGCCGGATTGCCCGCGATAATATTGCTAATAATATTGTGTACACGCGCGATTGTCGTAAAATGTAATAATATTGTTGAAAACGTTACGGGCAAACGCGGAAATCGAATAGCCGTCGTCGGGCAGTGCGCAACGGACAAATCTTGTATTTTTTATCGTGACTGTAAGAGAGTGATGGACACGGCCGAATATGTAGCGTTACTGTCGGTCCGTTCGATAATAATCAATCGCATTCCGACTATTCGGTACGCGTATACACACATATGAAAACCGAAGACCTATCAACGAGATGTATGATATTACAACAACAACAACAACAACAACAAAAAAACCTGATGTTCGGAAAAGGGGAAAAACTGAACATTGGGTTCACTGCGATCGGTATGTACGTGCGTGTTCAAAAGCGTGTCAATTTTCGTGGGTACTTATAACATGAGTAGGTGCTTAAAAGTGCATTAAAGAACTGTACTTTAACAACGCTGAGTTTTATCAATTTACGTGAAAATAGAGTTTTTTTGAAAATATTGTCGCATACACCGATCTCGATGATAATTCTACAACAATTAAAACAATCCAAAACATTAAAAACAGTTTTTATTCGGTCGTTGGGAAACAAAAATGTTCGTTACGTGATTTATCCAAAAGACTATGGAAAATTACCGATGTGTACAAACTATTCGGAAATGACCGTCACTAGTTGTGACTGTACAGAGTTGCATAGTTGCATAAACATTTATTAAAAAAAAAAAACAACACTAAATGTAAGTGTTGAAACAATCCGGTTATCCGAATATTTAAAAAATCCGTAGATATATCCCAACACTATTATATATCCTAAAAAAGATCGCAACGAAAATCATCCAAAGAGCATTGATATAATTTCAAAACGAACGGCTTGACTCACAAACATACTTTTGTAGTAAAAATGACGTGATTTCTTATCCTGATCATCGTAAATCCATAAATTTAACACATCTAGTACTTATAGTACTTAGTATTACTTAGTAGTACTTAGTAGATAGTACTTATATGTATTTATAGACGGATATCGTCAGCGAGTATAAATAAATATGTTTATTAGCCGATTAGATCTGTCTATAAATAAAGTATCATATTTTGTAAAAAATATGTAAAAACAATTAAAATAATAAAATAAAATATAATACAAATTGCATTTATGGATCCTACGTATCTACGTAATGGCACGAAACAAATGTAAAGCTGACGTACTTTTATATTCGACTATATAAGAAAAAAAAGATTTCTTATTTGTTTCGGCTTTTTAATTCATTTTTTCGGTTAGGTATAAGTAAGCTTCAAATTATTCGCATTATCTAAAATGATGCTGATTATTCGCTCGGTAGAACTTTATCTGAGAAAAAACGTTTAGATTCCCAAAAGTGTTTCTATAAAACAACAATACCGATACATTAGTTTTATTTTTTTTTTTTTGATGTCTGTGTCAACCTTTTTTGATTTTGAAGTTTGATAATAGACCGATTTACTCTAATATTCAAATAAACAGCAAAAAGTTGGAATTACTGAACGAAACTTTGATATTATCGAATTTTCAAGTCATAACATGTAAACTAAATTGCCCTGTAAATCCTATAATTTTCCAACTACCCGCGTACAAAAGTGACCTGCCCGTGAACAGAACTTTTTTCTTATTTTATGTGCCGCGAGAGTTCTCGTTTTTTATGCCGTATTATTGCGTCGTTAAAATATCGCTAATATCGCTGTATATAATATTATTCATCATCACGTAAGCAATTTAGACCGCGCGTTTTCTATAATATTTATTGTTTATTATATCGTATCGTAGTGGTCGACGCCGACTGTCTAAAAAAACAACGCGTAATAATATTTTCACTTTTAATTTGGGTATAAGTAAAAAATAAAATAAAAAAATATGGCGCAGGTTGAATAATTCAGAAACAAAATATAAGAACTATTATATAGTGACGTGACGTACCCGTATAAATTTCTCGAAAATCCGGATTTGAATTTCACAATAATTCGGGTTTATGGTTTTTGTTTTTCTATAGTTGTTTTTATTTATACTAAATAAATGTGCAATTATTACGATTATAGTTATTTAAAATACTTGTATATGTACGTATAAAAAATATTACAATGTTAAGTGTATGTGTTTAGCTATGTGTACAATCACTCAATCTAATATATATTGATGGTTTTCCGGAGAAAATATATTTACGTAAAACAATGAAAAATCCGGACGATGATGGTTAAAACGTCCGAAATCCAAATCAACAACAGACACGTCTGGATTCCGCCAATAACTTCGGCTGTGTTATTCGCATATACACACGGTGAAATAAAATTTCCGTATTTTTCATAAGAAAAACGTTATTTGTTTAATTGTTGCGTTTACCGCCGACGACGACGTGTGGTCTGTATACGATTTTTATGATACGACAATATTTTTATATTTAAACATTTCTCGCACATATTGCGAAATTACAATAAATAATGCGGAACAGCGCGGCAGTGTAATATAATAATATCAAAGGCATACGCACGCGTTTGAACGGACGCCAAACACTGCAGTAACACAACTTTTGTTTTTTTTTTTTTTTATTATCGCTTCATTAAAGGAACACTATACACTATAGAAAGAGAGGGGAAAACCGCTTTCGCCAAAATTGTGTTGTCACGGCCGGAATATTAACGACCCGAGATAAAGTATTGAGTCAGAAATACTATCAAGTATGATACATAATATAAACTATGAATACAACCTATATAAACTATAATCTATATCCATATAATTTACAGATACTTTTATTTCAATATTATGTTACCGTTTCAGTAATTTGTAATGAAAACATTTTTTTTTTTTAAATTTACTTAATAACAAAAATACGTTTTGTCTTCGAAATAATGTATGATATTATACCGCAGTCGTCGTGCGCGGTTAACCACGCAAATATTTAAGGATGATAATATTAACATTGATTATGTATACTTAGTATTTACTTGATAAGCAATCTATTTGAAAGGAGAGCCTCGGATAAGTTTTTTTGGATGAGGTTAAGTGCTCCGAGCCCCTCTATTTGTGCATATACTTATAGCGATGTCACAAATGCCATGATTCACCACTTTGAACCGAACTATTAAAATACTCGTGTCTTCAAAATTCGAAATTAATATTAAGTAAATACTTATACGTAGTAATGAGCACAATCAAATATATACTAATTAATTATTGAACTAATCGATATACCTGGTTGATGATCGCGTCGGAACTATTCTCCGTAAATTGAAAACTATCGGAATGGTTCAACTTTATTCGGTTATAGGAAAAACTATTCGATAGTTTATTTAAACGTTATGAACTACGGAAAACGTTCGATATACCTAAATATTATTCGGGAGTGTCCACCATTATACCAAAATATAGTGACGCATATTATTCAGAAATATAATTTCGTGACTTGAAGGTAATTTAGAAATATAGGTACATTTTAGAAAATAAAATTATTCCGCATTATGCCTGTTTATATATTGAACACCTTGCAAATAAACCAAAATAAATCCCATCGTCGAATAGCATTCAGCCTTTCGACAAAACTGACACGTAAGAATAAAACGAAAAAAAAATTCAAAAAATTACGACTTACCGTCGCTAACTTTCTTCTCCGAAGCCGTATCATCGCCGTCGTGGCCTCTCAAGAGTCTCGATATCGCACTTATAGACGGGGCGCTTCCCCGATCGCACAGTCCTTCTCTAATCAATCTAAAAAACAATGAAAATAATAAAATTAACTCATATTGTACAAAAAAAGGAAAATTAAAAAATCCAATATATTGTTATTGTTATTTTTATTTTTTTGCTCAAATATAGGGACACGCGTTTAATCTGTATACATGCTAATGTAATATATTATTAAAATAGCATTTAAATCGTAAAGTACATCCTGTACTTCTATTATATGTATATATAATATAAATATAAACGCGATCAAGATGTTATCCATAATAAAATTCATACCCACGTACTTGGATATTTTCGAGTGTCGATGGGTACTATATATATATATACAATGCATTTATATTATGTAAGTATAATATTTGTAGGTTTAACACAATAATAATGGTGCGGTATTATATTGAAAAAAGGCAATAAAACATCCCGGACCTATTTATACTGTTGCTGCAGCGTCTGCATCGACAACAAAGGTTTTGTATAAAACCCTGCAACACGAGCACAGGGACCTCCTACCAGTTTTATGTATACATTTGTAGAATATAAGTAGGTACGTATTATTATGTTTTCATTTATACATACATTTCGGGGTATAAAAAAATCTAAAATAATGATAAAAGCGAAAGGGACATAAATGGAAAAAAAAATACGGTTAGTTTCTGTTGTCGATCCATGCGTAGAAAACTGCAGCGATTTCTGAGAGCAAACGGAAAAAAAAAAAAAAAAACTATCGCGTGTATACCGTGATGTAAAAACATGAAATAATATCGGCTTCGGGGTGGCGGAGAGGGAGGGAAGGGAGAGTTGCGCCGTACGTGTAACTGCAATTTATTATACTGTTATAGGTTCCTGCAGTATGCCTAATAATATTATTATATTATGATAATAACAATTGTGCAATCGCTACGAAAACAATGTTCGATTACATCATCACAACGAGAGGAAAACAATGGCGGACCGAGTTCCATTTATCTATATATTATAATGTTACGTCACGAATACTTATGTAGAAGTAAGAATAATTTATTCTGCAATTTTTCAGCAAGGCGGACCATATTATTCCGAGAGAGAGAGAGTTCAAATAAAATGTATGGATATTTTTTTCTCCACAAACACACAAATCTTTGATCCCGACGAAAAAGAGCCTGAGTAAATTTTCGGTGTTTTATTTTATTTTTTTAGAATTTTATCTTATGCAATTCGGTCCACTTTATTTGTTATTCTAATTATATTCGTTTTAAAAATGTAATTCGCTTGTATTGAAAACTATACAAAATTGATTTAAACAGTTATTCCCAGCTGGGACCAAAGAAATATTATAAAATATAGCCGGTTAGGTCTATTTTATGCGTTTAAATAGAAAATTGATAGCGGCTAGTGTAATATAAAATATTTCAAAATAATGTTTAAAGGCCAGCACGCACAATTAATTCATCTATATATAGCTGTATTATATACGCCATTTTATTGTGTTGCGTGTGTCGCGACGTCGTGAAATGTACAATGGCCAAGGAGTCACGCAACACAAATACCTACTGAAGCAGGACTGAGGACTACCTAAGCATATTATATAGATATAAGATAACAATGCACCGGAGGGTAGAAATATCCGAAGATGAATAGTGACAAAAAAGAAAGAAAAAAAGGACCTCTGGGTCATATTATACAAAACCGTTATTTATGGCTCCTTGTGTATAAATGGCAGCAATCTTGCAAGTACATATATGTACACGTATAAGACGAAGTCAATAAATTTAAATACAATATATATGTACAACCCTTCTCTGCAGTTAGTATATTATATAGATACCAGCAGTAGACGTTTAAGGGTGCAGCTAGGGTAAAAAAAAGTATTGACCCTTTCTTCGGGGAGAATAAAGAAAAAAAAAACGTTCCATTGACAACTGATGACTGTATTAAGTACATATATTGTGCTACACACATACGGCCCATATAAGTACGTGGTTTTTATGTGTCTTATTGTGTATTATCATTGCGGGAGGGGGGATACAACACCGAGCACGCGTCCCTTATTATTATAATTTTATTTCGATTATATAATATTATATTACAGCATAATGTAAAAATTATTTATTATAATACATAAATCAAAATTCTACTATGTAATATTATATACCGCAAGAAAAAAAAAAAAAGAGCAGTTTTGTTTTATACAGAAATTTTAAGAAAAACAACGTTTAATTAAAACACTAACCTTTTATTATCGTGATATTGGGCGGGCTCATTGTCATTTCTGAAACACAAAAACGGGATCATTCTTTTAGAGCTTTCAAATTTTGAAATACAGTAAAGAAATCACTAGGTATAGGTATATAAAAACACATCAAAAATTACACTATTATTTTTGTAAAACACATAATACGCGGTTTGAGGGCAATATTACCTATATACATAATACATATATATATATATATATATATATGTATTTAAGTATATCTAAACCTATAACTTAACTTGTAACCTATAACCTATACGTAAATTATAAATGCAAGTGTCAATTGTAGGTATTCGGTCCATATAATATGGTAAACTTTAGGTAAAACATCCCGCAGAGTTACCAGGTATAAAATAAAAAAAAATAAAAAAACAAATTCGTGTTATTATTCATATAGATTATACGGATGTATTATTTATAATTTATCATCTTGACAATAATCATTATTAATTATGATTACGCGTCAAAATCCACTAAAAAAGAACATCGCCATTGGTCACATAATAATAGACGATGGCTTTTAAAAACGTATATAATAATAATTTATGCATAACATCATAATTTTGTCCTGAGGACATATTATTGCGGTTCAAGGTTATACACAGCCGAGTTTTAATTGTGAACTATGTATTGTTAATGATACAATTTCGGTTCTTCAAGACGAGGAAGAATGTTGTGGAAGACAAAGAAACGAAATGGAAGCATAGTGTAGTTATGAATATGTTCTATTTTTGTGAACCGTTATACCAATATTATAATAAACATTCCCAAAGAATTATATAAAACTTTGTGTTTCGGTGTGTTGTTCGTTATTCCCCATCACCTCCCGAACACCTCATTTCAATCTAAGGTCAGCTGAGATATTTAGTGGTATATAAACAACGGGATACAATGTATACCTATATTTTGTCTACGATGTATTTATCACTATAAGGCCGAACACTTTTGAGGTTTGTGTATTGCTGTGTATACTATAATAAGCACCCAGTATATCTATACTTAAAATGAAAATGATGTTATGCACCGTGTTGAATTGTTAATACAAGTGAAGCCTATTACTATAACGAATACGATCATTAATTGGTGACGGTGTATATTTTAGTCGATTTAGACCTAAAAGCGATTTCAATTATGAAAACGAATTATGGTTCTTCGGTTTCTTTACTGTAGGATACGTCGGAAATAGAAATTCGATTATTTTACCGGAAATCATAAACAAATTTGATTTTATAGTATTTTTAAACTATTTCGCTTTTTGCTTATGATTAAGATATTCATAATTAAAAATTAATTTCAACGTATCCTAGTAATGAACCTAAAGAATCGTAATACGTTTTGAAAATTGAAATTTTCACAGTTTTTTCTGGATTTTGTTTTTGTATAAAACGTCATATTCGTTTGTAAAAACGGTCGTACCGCCTCTCCTTAAGCGAGTGTCGGACAGTAGATTAGTGGAGAATTTTTATCAATTTAAGGTGGCTATTAAAATTTGCTAACATTGAAGACAATACGGATAACTGTCACCAATTCCCTCGAGAGATTCACTCTGAATTTATATGCAGCAACCCATGTATATTATATTACTATTTATTTTTGTATACGTTATATTTTATCGGGTTTTTTTTTTTTTTTTTTTAACACGATTAATTTTTGGTTTTAAAATTGGTTGCATTGCAATATTATAATATCAAAATTGGCGTGTGTGTATAATATTATAGACCATCAAACAACATGGAGTGCGTCAAAATCGAGTTTATAAAGTTTAAATATAATTATGAATTATTCTATAGATAGATAGATACTTAATAAAATATTCTATACTCAGACTCAAAGATTAGATTTAACACTAACTGTACATAAATATAGGTAAGTATATGTAAAAGTTAGTAAACACAAACCGTAAACTGTATGGACCAGGAACACGTGTTGGCAATAGAGAACTTTAAATTTACCGGTTTACAGACCAAAAAGAACAAATAAAGAAGTCACGATGTATAATTTATTTTAGCCGAGAACAACAGTTGGATGCTATGGGTACGTATAAACTCGAATTTTTATAATCATGTTAGCACACGCCTATATATTGTCGTATGACCTTACCTATGGGGCTGCAGATCGTCGGAAAAATTCCCGAATTCCTGATGGATCAATCCACCCCCGTTTCCGCAGGGGTCGTGACGGCAATCGTCAGTGGCGTATGCAAGACCTTGCCTGCTAGGTTAGGGGTTTTAACTCCTCCCCCATTGGTTTAAACACATAACGTTTATATGAATATTTAATCGGCAATTTAATCTTGAAATGTAAATATGTATTTCAGTAAAATTATAATAGGAAAAGCTTGATCTATTTAATAATAATTGGCCTTTTTGAATCCGACTTTTGAATTTCTACTGACGGATTAGACACAGAAGACGCGTTTACGGTTTATTCATAATTATTATTATTTACTGTTATACATCCCCTTCCATTGAAAGTCCCTAAGCACGCCACTGGTCATCGTCATTCGTTACATAATAGCTATACAGGTACCTATATTATAATATACTATTATGTGCACCTATAACTTTTTTAAGTGAACATGTTTAATGATCTTATCTAAAAATGTCTCTGCAAACTAGCGGTTTACGAGTGGCTACGTATTTTATAAATATTATATTTCGTCGTAATAATATTTATTTGTAAAACTATTATATCGCTGCTGCGTGCAACTATGTAGGTACCTGTCGCGTATTTCCCAGCTGAAAATGCCGGGATTCTCTGTCTTGTATTCCTCGATCCGGCGTTCCACGTCCGGCGTGGCCACCCTGGGTTTGCTTCCGCCAATCACGCCGGGCCTGATGCTGCCCGTCTCCTGGTAGCGGTTCAGGATTTTCGACACGCATCCGTGGGACACGCGCAACTGCCTGGATATGACGCACGGTCGGACGCCGGCTGCGGCCATTTCGACGATCTTCAGGCGAATGTGGTTGGGCAAAGGCCGGCCGTTGATGAACACGCCACCTAATTGGTTCACCCGGCCCTGGCCTGTGGACATACACATCACATGGGCACGGTAAGTACGAGTTATACAACAAATACAGGACGAGGAAGTGTACTTGCAATATCGCGAGGATATTTAACGTTGCGCGTGACACTGCAAATGTTCCCGCGGAAGACGCGCCTCCCCTATAAAATATTTTTATCACCTCCCTTGTAAGTATAATATACGAACTTATAGATTTCACCCGCGACCTTACGGTTAGACTGGTGTAGGTTATGTGAACCCGGTATAAAGGGTTTGATAATATACCGCGATATACCATCACGATGTGTTGAGCTATAACGTTTTAACAAAATATATACCGGGCGTTGCTCAATTGATAGTACTATAGGTAAAATCGAAAGAAAAAAACAAACGCGACTTATTGCCGGAAATAAATTTAGAAAACAAATTCGGTTTTACATATTTCACATATTTCCTCTCCGCGTGCCTGTTTAATAATCTAATCATACCTATAACACCATGTCCCGCAAAAACTGATAACTCATCACGTACGCGGTGAGGTTAGATTACTCGGCCGGCATTGTAATATGTTCTAATCTAATTGTAGTTGTACAATAATAATAAGATACTCGCCTTGAAATGGGTATCCGGTAAAACAGGGCCTCATCATGCCGAAATTGGTAACTGTCATCTTTTCTTAACCGTGCGCGAAACGTTTGTAAAGCGGACGGACATCGAAAAACAAAACTCGCGAATGGTTTTACAATAAAAAGTATAATAATATTGTTAAAAAAAAAAAAAATAAAAAACAAACAAACGACAACGTTATAATAACAATGACATTATTATAAGAAAAAAAAATCACAAAACCGCGTAAGCAGTAAAAAAAAAAAAAAATTACAATATTTTAAGGTATTTACACTCGCGGGAATAAAATTCGCGTACGCGTCGGCCGACGAGGGGGAACCGGAAAAAAAAAAAAAACGCGAAAAATTCGTCGACGAGATTACAAATGATATTATTCACAACTCCGTGCCGGCGCAGATGATGAGGTGTACCGAAAACGCACGATACGGCCGTCGCATTGGTGTCCCGAACAAGACTGGATTCGGTGTGCCGGCGCACTGGCGTTGGGCGTGCGGTCCGTGCCCACGGGGCGTGGAATTGTTTACCGGCCGGCCGCCGCGGACGGCCAATGGCGGGACGCAGACCGGAGCGGGGATTTTCCCGCGGTTCCCCCACCCCGCCGCCGCCGCCACCGCTGCCGCCGACCTTTCTATTTCGCCCTCGCACCATGCGACGTTGCCCCCACCATTCCCGACACCGGTGCTGCAACTCTTTCGTCGTCGTCGTCGTCGTCGCCGCCGCAGCAACATTACAATAATAATAATTATATTCCCACACGTCGCCGCCGTCGAGTTATTTTTATTGAAATAATATAATAACAATAACAATAACAATAATAATAATAAAAATAAAACAATTTACGCGGCTTTGACGTGGTCGTCACGAGAAAAAAAATTCACAATTCGCACCATGGGTAGGCCACTGTTGTCATAATATAGTCGAAAAATTCCGGAGGTATATTCGGGTACATAGAGGATACTCGTACCTATATTTCGGCTTATTTTAATTTATAATTATAATTTAGTTCATACACCGAAAGCAACAATACATCATTGCTTTCAGAAAACGATTCTGAACGGAATTCGATTTAAGGTATATAATGTCTTTATTAGCGCAGAAACTATAAGTGTTTTCTCACTTGTAATCAGTGTCTTTTATTTCAAAATGACTCACGACAACATGACGCTGGGACCACTTTTTCTTTTGCTCAAAATCAATTTTTGTCATTTAATTTCATGACCTGTTTTGGAATTTTCTTGGAAAATCATTTTTTTTTTATTAAATTTTTTAAATTTAGAATCATTGAACTTCAACAAAATTTGTTAACATTATACAGATACCGTATTTCTGCGTACTTTATTAATACTGTAAAGTATTAAGTACAGAAGTGAAAAAAAAATAGACAATACTTTTAAAAATAGTACGGGAGACACCTCTGCTTGCAACCCTAATAGATAAAAATAATAACCAACTTGTTTCGGCTTTAAAAATAAATAGTACCATCAGATGAAAAATCCCGATATTTTAAGACATGAAAAAATCAGAACATTTTTACTAACCGAAAGAGTGCTTTCCAAGAAAAAAATACACATGTCTTAGTAAAGCAGGTAAGTTGCACAAAATAGTATAAATAGAGCAGGGGTTTTTTTTTTTGAGGTTATTTGTGTCCAAGTAAAAAAACAGTTAAGTCCATTGGACAACCAGTAAAGTACGATTTTGTGTTTATACTATAAATGTTTTGATATTTAATGAGAAACAATTGAAGTACATTTCGTAACAAAATATTGTATCACTCAGAGATAATCTCATTGGGTGAATGGGAGTGGAGTAACTTTGTAAAGTTCGGCTTGTGGAAGTTTTTTTTTTAAACGGAGCGCGAGAAAACACGCAATGGATAATCGTTAAACAAAAAAATGGCCTGATACAGCGGATAGGTATATTATAATACAGTACACCATCACTCGTTTATTTACAAGAATATCATCACGCCGAGCCGTGTTAAATTCTATACATAGTGTAACATAACAATTCATTTCAACGGTGACGGGATTCAGCATACCAGTATCCAATTAAATTTACTAAGGCATTTCGAGGTTTTCCGCATCATATTTTACTACTTTAGAATATGCATATACGTATATATTATGTATATTATCTTTATTCAAAGGTCATTTTAAATTGTTTTAAGTGCACCTTTGTGATACTGCCTACATACGTATATATATCATGCTGTACCAATGTATAGGTTTTTGTTAATACTACTGCAATCAAAACAAAGTTAATTTGAAAACTTAAGTATTACGTAGAAACGGTAAAAATAGGATGCTGAAAATATTTATTTTATTAGAATTTAAAGTTTTTTACTGCATATTTGTGCATTTTTCGGAGCATATGATATTATAGCTGCGATTGATTTTCTCTGTTAATTTGACGAATTGTAATATTCAAAAACGTTTTTTTAGATCGCGTGTTAAAGAGGGATAATCTGTCCCGCCGGCCATCATCGCCGGTCAAGACATTGACACGAAATAAAACAAAAATACACTACGATGGTCTAATTTATATTAAGTCAAATCACAAATGTAAATTAATTTAAATACACTAATGTGGCACTAAAATATAATATAATATCTGCGTAACATAAATAATAACAATATTATATTACGATTGCATTTATCTTTAATAGTTATCAATACTTTAAAATTAACTGCAGAAAATGTCTACATGCGAATGGAACTTTGGTTAAGTAACCCTATAAAAGGGTTGTATGAAGGAGCGACTATTATAATAACCCCGCGTAACTCCGAACACATTGTATATCCGGGTGGGAAAATGCTTTGGCGGTTACAGCCCCGTTGGCTTTAAAATACAATAAATACGAGTAGATATTTATTCTTGTCATTTTATCTTGAATGTATGCATTTCAGCCAAATTACGTTAAGCAAGGAAAAGCACTGATTTATTGAAAAAATAGGATTTTCGGGTTCGGGTATTAAAATTTCATTTTCGGATTACATTAGGTATAAAAAAAAAAATAAAAATAAAAATACGATTTTACGAACTATTCACGATCGTTATACTACACTACATGTCCATATCCCCTCTAATCGAAAACTCCTGGCCCGGAAACTGTGGACACGCCATTGCGGCATACTGTCCGTATCAGTAGTTTTACAGAGTTTTTTCGGACTGTCGATTTTTCGACAACCTTCGTAAAAATATTTACATATTGTATCTATAATACGAGTATATATTATAATATATAAATATATAATGTATATAAACTATCGTAATATATGTGAAGATGATGCGTTTATGTACACACGCAGATACGCGTTTAGGCCGCCACGCCGCCACGGAGGTGGTAAAATAATAATAATCAAACAGGAGTAAATAATAATAATAATAATAATAATAATAATAATAATAATATAGGTAATAAGAGAGGTATTATATACGAGGAAAAAAAAAAATGTAAAAAATAATATATAAGAAAAAGATTTATAAGATGAAATCTGGCGGTAAAAAAAAAAAAAAAAAAAAAAAAAAATGGTGGATCGTGACGAATCGAAAGTAAGGACTTTCACGGGAAACGAAGCCAAACAAAAGGTTTCGAGATGTTCAGCGGACCGTGCACGCATCGAGCGCTGCTACTGCAGCGCTCAATACCACACAGCCCGACAACTCGTACCATTTTTATTATTTTTTTTTTATATTTTTTTTTTCCTTCTACTCTTTGTAGCCCATTATAATACCAAACTATAATGGTCTAATGTATATTATAGCCCATTATTATTAGCCTATGTTCCCTTTACCGTGTATATATATATATGTATATATACACTTTATAATATGACATTACGTCGAGAAAGTGCGCGTACCTATATACTTGTACATATATATATAAATATGTACACGTATAGAAGACAGATAGATAGATATTATCGAGCGCGCGGGTTTCCATGTGTTACGCGTGCCGGGGGAAGACCGCAGCCGGACCCCGCGATAACGAGGAAAAGAAAAAAAAAAAACAAAACGATTATTTTAACTAATTGCGAACAGTCGTTATACTGCGATGTGTACGGTATTAGGAGGACTGTGAATATAAAACGTTTAAAAAAAAAAAAAAAAAAAAAACCATCGAAACGCAGCGTGTATAGGTATTATTATATTTTTTCTTCGTATTAAAAGTTTACAGAAATTAAAAAAAAAAAACAGTACTTGCACTACGGTTTCACTCGCCCGGAGGCATACGATTTTGCGATGCTCGTTGAACGTATATAACACGTGTTAAATTTCACCACGGATAAAGGAATAAAACTACGTGAAAATAGCTGAGAATGTCGAAAATCAAAATAAAAGTTCGAAATCGATTTTATATTATTGTTGTTGACAGTTCGAATGTTGTACCGGATATAAAAGCCGTAACAATATTTTCGTACACCCAGGCCTGTCGTAAGATATTTTCCACCCTAAAGCGAATATTTTGTTGCTGTCTTTTTTTTTTTTTTGACGACAGTTGATTTTATTTTGTCACTTTAATTTTTTTTTTTTAATTTAATGCCGTCCTAAAGCGACGCATGACTTGCTTGCACTCTAGCGACGGGCCTCGCCAATTAAAATATTGCTTGGGTACGGAGGAAAAACTATTGTTCCTTTAACTCACCTCTAAAATACAACAAAAGTATGCTTTTAACCGTGATTGAAGACATCCAGACATACTATTGATACTATGATGTCGTACGTGCGGTTTTGATCAGATTAAAAGATCGAAGCGATTTTATATACAACAAAAAAAAAAAAAAAAAGAACACGGTGATTTGAGGCTATACCTTTACAAATAATATAATATGGTCTCAAGCATCATAATACGATTTTATAGAACATTTTCGATTTTTGTAACAACATATACATGTTTGTATTTTGTATATGATGACTGGTTCAATTTTTCCGTTCGGAATCATACAATAATTCCACGACCCATAAAACCGTGTGTATACCTCCCTTGTATTTTTTTCCCCCGTTTCGAAACTAAATAATATATATGATATACGCGATATGTACATTATTGATCTATGTTTCGCTTGCAGTGCATACGTGTGCGTGTTTTTTTTTTCTTATAAAAATAGTAAAATGCGTAATAATTCCGAATTCGCATTTTTTTTTTTTTTTTTACACCCAAACGACCTGCTGCTATTTTTTCTCTCCCGCTGTGGGTCCAGCGACGCACTGCAGTTATATTTATTTCTTTTGAATTTGTTTTTTTTTCATTCTTTTTATTGATCGTCCATACCTACCTTTTGAACACTGCATGTGTGTTTTATTTAGAAAAAAAAAAAAACTGCTGCGTGCGATGACAAATTGCCCAAACCTCCCAAGTCGAAAAACGCAACAAGTAAATGTGTGCATACGTGTGCAAAAGGCGAAAAAAAAAGTACATAATATAATATAGTTGTATTGTTTGACC